GCATGAGTTGCCAGGGAGAAGACAGGGTTGTGCTGAGGTTACACTGAGTGAGGAGAGCTGGATTCTTCTTCAGGGCAGATGTCCCTGTTAGCAAAAGCAATAGACAGCTGGAGGTGGCAACACTGATGAACAGCCATACAGGGAGCTCAGTAGGAGAAGGACCATTAGAGTAGCATGTGAGTGAGAGCCCAGAAATTATGGGTTCATGCTTGGAGGACTTCTTGGCAGTTGTTCTTTTTTTCATTTGCACATTTAGTTTGTCTAAGGTCTTTCTCACTGGAGGTAAAGATATGTTTGAATCTGATGTTCCTTCCTCTTGGACTCCGGGACAGCTAAAGAGAGTAACAGGGAGTAGAGCCTACTCTCTATCTCTGGCCTAAATTAGTCTGTCTCCCAGTTACATTCTGCTTGCTGGTTTGCCTTCTATGCTCTTCTTTCTGGCTGCTCCTGACACACACAAACACAGCTGAGAGCCAGGACAGTGACAAAAAGTCAGGAAGCCTTTCCAGAAAAACCTTCTGCTCCTTCTTTAAGGCCTCTGTGCAGCCAGACTATGTGGCATGTGTGGATGAGGGGAAGGAGTGGCTTTATGTAAATGAAATTAGCCTCTGTCCATCCTTTCTGCTAGTAACCAACTGTAGAGGCTGTAGGTCTTCTTCCCATGTGGCTTGCACTGTTTACATCTTTTCTCAGCATATGCCAAGTTCTGGACTAAAGTTGACTCCCAGGTTTTCTAGGCCAGACTGAGCACGGTAAGATAAAACACCTACTCCTTAGCAGGATGACATTACCTCCCATAACACCTGAGCATCAAAATCTGGAAGAGGTACATGTTCTCCCATTCTCTCTCTGTGGCATTATATCACAGACTTCAGCTGTATGACCCTGAAGAGCTAGGGCTAGTTGCCCTTCCTGTGAAGCCTTTCAGCAGCTATTTGTCTGCCTCTAAAAACCTGGCAATCATGTCACTGCATTCTCGTGCTCTGGTCAGTTAGCTTAGCTGCTGTAGGTCATTGAACAAATCCATTGAACAGATGGATTCCAGAGGTACAAAAACCATCAGGGGTTTGTACAACCACTACCCAGGCTCAGTAGTGTTACAGCCTTTAAATCAATTACAGCCAACCCTATCTCAAAGTCTCCAGAGACTACATGATGTGTAATCAGTCTGCAATGGTTAAATTCCTGCTAGCCGAATTCATTGCTGCACATAGCTATGATTTTCATAAGGTGCAACTTGGCAGAAGTACAAGGGGGGAATTATGGTGATCAATATGCATCACAGTCAGAGCACGATAAAGGTTTCAACCATGGCTTGTTCTGCTGCTCTGCAGAGTACTGCAGCCCTCAGCAGTTGAGTCTGGGCCAGCACTTTCAGTGCTACCAAATACTGAGAAAATGCAGGTGTTAAACTTCTTTTTTTCGGAGAAAAACACTGGACCACCTTTGTACCTGTGCACTGCCTAGAGATTGAAATAACTTTGTGAAGCCCATGAGCTTTTTCTGAAACACCTCGGTTCTTGGCTTGTGCTTAATTACGCAATAAAGACTGTGGGCCAGACTGCAGTATTTGCCTGGCTCTTAGATTTCCTCTAAGTGTTGTAAAGGGCTGCGTAATAATCCTCACTGCATTCCCTGTGATTTGCACAGCACATCAAAAAGATGCCATTTAAAGCAAGCTGTGCCAAAAAAATTTTAAGAATTTGGCCAAAGAGCTGTGTATAAAACAAGATTCATCTCTGGCATAACTTGCTGTTTCACCAGGCTGAGAAGATACCTACTGCATTTTTCCTTTGAACTTCCTTGTGCACTGCCTAATGCAGATAAGGAGCTCCTGCCAGCTGTGGAAAACCATGGATTTAAAGTATTAGCAGAGGGATAAAGGAAATAAAGGAGCAGTGTCAGTGCTCTCTCAATTTCCCTTTTAAACACAGATACTTCGCAGGATAAACGCGGGGAAGACTGTCACACCAGTAAAAAGGCAGGGCCCAGTCCTGCAGTCTAGAACCAGAGGAAGGCTACCTCCTGCTGGCTTTTTAAATCCGTGATCACACGTCAGTTCATTAATAATGAATAATAATAAACTCATACAATGAATGGTAATAAACTCTGTCCCCAAAATCGTCTTCATTGTGGTAAGGCTCCTTCCTAACCTTGGGGAAGTGTGGTGAGGACAAACCGCTCCACGCTCCTGCAGCCACTCCAGGCTGCTCCCCTGGAGAGGGCTCTTCCCATCCGTACCCCAGCGGGGAACTGGTGTTACAGCACAGCTGTATCAGTCACACCACAGCATCTCTGTGCGCGCGCGGCACTGGCGAGCCCCACTTGACGCTCAAACAATGAATCCATTTTTAGTTATGGGTTTTATTTTATGCTACTGTCTGTACAAGCTTTCTGGGTGTAGATAAGCCCTGAATGTTTAGAAGGACCTAACTCTGTCATCTGTAGCCCTTCTGCTTTGTTAGCTGCATGGTGGGTGACAATATCTGCAGGACGATCCTTGATTCTTGTTAATTTGATGTAAAGCATTTTCTGCTGCATTATATTGCTGACTCCCTGATATTTTTTGTTTCTCAGACTATAGCAGTCTTTTTTTCACTTCTTTTTTTCGGAGAAAAACACTGGACCACCTTTGTACCTGTGCACTGCCTAGAGATTGAAATAACTTTGTGAAGCCCATGAGCTTTTTCTGAAACACCTCGGTTCTTGGCTTGTGCTTAATTACGCAATAAAGACTGTGGGCCAGACTGCAGTATTTGCCTGGCTCTTAGATTTCCTCTAAGTGTTGTAAAGGGCTGCGTAATAATCCTCACTGCATTCCCTGTGATTTGCACAGCACATCAAAAAGATGCCATTTAAAGCAAGCTGTGCCAAAAAAATTTTAAGAATTTGGCCAAAGAGCTGTGTATAAAACAAGATTCATCTCTGGCATAACTTGCTGTTTCACCAGGCTGAGAAGATACCTACTGCATTTTTCCTTTGAACTTCCTTGTGCACTGCCTAATGCAGATAAGGAGCTCCTGCCAGCTGTGGAAAACCATGGATTTAAAGTATTAGCAGAGGGATAAAGGAAATAAAGGAGCAGTGTCAGTGCTCTCTCAATTTCCCTTTTAAACACAGATACTTCGCAGGATAAACGCGGGGAAGACTGTCACACCAGTAAAAAGGCAGGGCCCAGTCCTGCAGTCTAGAACCAGAGGAAGGCTACCTCCTGCTGGCTTTTTAAATCCGTGATCACACGTCAGTTCATTAATAATGAATAATAATAAACTCATACAATGAATGGTAATAAACTCTGTCCCCAAAATCGTCTTCATTGTGGTAAGGCTCCTTCCTAACCTTGGGGAAGTGTGGTGAGGACAAACCGCTCCACGCTCCTGCAGCCACTCCAGGCTGCTCCCCTGGAGAGGGCTCTTCCCATCCGTACCCCAGCGGGGAACTGGTGTTACAGCACAGCTGTATCAGTCACACCACAGCATCTCTGTGCGCGCGCGGCACTGGCGAGCCCCACTTGACGCTCAAACAATGAATCCATTTTTAGTTACGGGTTTTATTTTATGCTACTGTCTGTACAAGCTTTCTGGGTGTAGATAAGCCCTGAATGTTTAGAAGGACCTAACTCTGTCATCTGTAGCCCTTCTGCTTTGTTAGCTGCATGGTGGGTGACAATATCTGCAGGACGATCCTTGATTCTTGTTAATTTGATGTAAAGCATTTTCTGCTGCATTATATTGCTGACTCCCTGATATTTTTTGTTTCTCAGACTATAGCAGTCTTTTTTTCTTTTTTTTTTTTAAACTCAGTACAGAGGAGCAGTGAAGTTGTTATAACCACGGTGGTGCCAGCTCTTAAGATTTTATCACAGCTCTCCCAAGATATTTTCCCTGGAGGTCCAGCTCTTGGTCACAGTTAAATACATAGCAATCTCAGCTAATTTATAATTTAAATGACTTTTGCTTACAGAGCTACAGGAGGGAGAAAGCAAAAATGTATAACCCTCAACATTCCCACACCAAAAGTAAATATTTATTTATTCTAAATTTTTGTGACACTTTAATCCACCTTAGTGATGGGAAGGGGGAAAGAGGAGCCCATTTAGTTTTTCGGAACATTTGGGTTTGGCATTTCTACAAACCTGCTGTTCTGTTGCTTTGGTACGTAGGCAGTACGTGCAAGTAGAAGATGCTCGTATATGTTCATAGCAGCTGTAGCAGGTATTGGTAACGCTCATGGGGAGTCAGTGGAGGATGTGACAACTGCAGTATTGAGCAAGGGATGCTCCACAACCCTGGAAACATCCCTGCTTTCAAGTGAATGCTTCCTGCTATAGCATTTGGGGGTATGTGCTCCCGGTGACATGAGCTGAACTGCAGCTGTGTGGAAACATCTTCCAGAGCAAAGCATTAGGATGTTTCCCAAAGGACCTGCCAATCAAGTTTTCAACATCAGGACAGTGAATAGTCAAAATCCAAAAGGTACTTGACATTAGATAGTAATATTAACGTAAGTGCCGTATTGTGTCTCAGCACTACACTGCTCTTTCAGGTTCAGAGCCATTATATTACCATTTTTGGCCCAAATGTGGTAAAAATACATATGCATTTTTAACAACTCGTGTATGACACTTGACTGCAGGCTGTGAACCTTTGTCATAGTGGAAACTTTACAGGCATAGTACAGGTGCAGAGTTTTCAGTGAAGTCTATAGTTCACAGTTCTGTTCAGAGCTTGAATCACAAAAGTACTTAGGCACTTGCTTATAGTTTTCAGCATGTTTCTGAGTCCTTCTGGAGACCCTGAGTTAAGCACCTGTCAGAGTTAAGCATGCGGTCTTCTGTGTCATGCCTTTGATGCAGGACTCTGCTGGAGTCAGCAGGGGCTTTTTGCGAGTAATGACTGCAGGGATTAGTCCCTTACCTCTCCTTATATCTCTTCCTTTCAGGTACCAAGAGCTTTTTTAAACCTGTTTGAACAATCATTATTTTTAACCTTTCCTCACAGGAGTGTTTGCATTTGGACTTTTTGCCACTGACATATTTGTAAACGCTGGCCAGGTTGTGACTGGGAACTTGGCTCCCTACTTCCTGACTGTATGTAAACCCAACTACACTGGAAACGACTGTCGGGCCCACCACCAGTTCATAAACAACGGCAACATCTGCACTGGGGATGTAGAGGTGATTGAAAAGGCAAGGAGATCCTTTCCATCCAAACATGCTGCTTTGAGCATCTACTCAGCTTTATATGCCACGGTGAGTGCCAGTGATGATTGCTAACTTGTATGAGAGGTTTCTGTGTGTGCATCTAGATGGGGCCATTTTTCTTACAATGGGTTTTTGAAGAAAAAGAGGGTTGTTTTGGGGAGGGCTTTCTTCTTAGAAGGGGAAAATTGCCTTCTCTCTCTGTTTTACCAATACTAGTATAAGCAAATCAAATGCTCGTTGCTTTTGAGGCACTGTATGATATGGAGGCATGAGGTCCTAATCTTGTCTTTGCTGCTGATTTCCTCAGAAGCCTTTGAGTATGCATTCAACCTCCTCTTCTCCCTGCCCCTGTCTCATGAACACTAAAATGAAATTGATGCTTAAATGGCTCCTGGATCACTACTATTTCTTTTGTTCATATGCCATGGGTTGTTGAACATTTAAGAGGTAAATTGTGCCATTTCAATGGGAGGCTGAACTAGGCTGGATTTTGCTCCCCTTGTTTATGACCTGAATTCCCTCTGCAAAGAAGGTTGTAATAAAAGTCAGTGCCAGAATTTTGCTGTTATCACAGAGAAATGGACTCCAGTTGACATCTTGACAAGGTGACACTGCTATACTGTCAGGAAGGAAATCGTCTGTCTTTAAAAGTCTAGTGAAACAGATCAACAGCTCCTTTGTGTTCTCTGGCTAAAGTTTCTGTAATGTTTGAAAATTGATCCAAGAAGCTTGCTCACAAAGTAGAAAACCTTGATGGTTTTGCCATTAAGATCTAAGGACTTAACCTGATTCTTATCTCAAAATGGCTTAACTAGGTCTTTTTTCCCCCAGTAGGTTGACTCTAATGAGTGGCAGAGTCTGTCTGTAGGTCATCAGGATTTGAGAAAAGCTTAAACTTATTAATGACAGGGTGTTTACTGAATATTTTACCCTGATCTTGGTAGCAGATGAATAAAACACCGCATTATTACTATAAAATGAAGAGGCCACCCACTGCTATTTCAATATCATCTGTTTGCACTGAATGTTGGGTGAATAACGACGGAGATATAAATTGGTAACTCCTTTGATCAGGATTTGTTGGGAAGTGTTTGGAAAGCCTGTAACATTTTGTGTGCATTACTTCTGAACAATAAGCAACCATGTGTGAAATACAGTTCCCAAAAAACTCAGCATCGTTGTAGCAGCTGTTTTCATCATGATAAACTCTTAGGTGGAAGCTCCAGGATCAGGCTTGGTCCTGGTTCTGCCCTAAGCTAGTTACATCCTTTCATGGACTTTCCCTGCCCAACCTCCTTTGTTTTCTAGGAAGGCAAGTCTTCTACAAACAGGCTGATTTCTACAACTGAAGGGGAACAATGCTTTTCCTTCCTTAGCTTAAGTCCCCAGAAGTTCACTTTTTCAGAGCCCTACTCTTTCAAGCATATCTATGATGGGCCTGCATTTCTCCCCACATAGGAAGATACCAGGTGGAGCCAGGACATGGAGTTATTTCTGAGCCGCAAGGTCATAAAAGTCTGCCCTTAAGGCATTTCAGCCTACAGTCCAATTTTAGCCCAGTTCTCCACCCGAAGACACCCTCTAGCACTAAAGGTGTTGCCACTTGTCTTTTCTTTGCCTGTCAGCTGGGAATAACATATTACACAATAAATGCAGCGTTCAGATCTAGCTTTGCTTAATAATTGTGCTGTGCACAATTTTTTGAGAAGTGTCTTGCTGATTCTAATATGCATGATAATGTGGGCTGCTGAACATAAAACACATGGTATTTGGTTTGTAATAGCTGTATTTTGCATAAAGCTAAAGATTTGAGCCATGGAGCAAGAAAAATAAAACAGGTTGAACATGAGGAAGCAGGAGAATGGAGTCAGCACAAACATTGTCTTTCATTGTATAAATGTCTGTTGAGACCCAGGAGTCTCCTCCCATCACTGAACCTTGAGTATCCTCTGCAGATGTCTGTGTACTGATTTGTTCATTAGTCTGCTGGTGACAGTAATCCCACTGTGATCGGTTTGGCTTTGTGTTTTGTTTTTTTTATAATCTGGGTTTTATATTTAATCAACTAGGCTTTTTCTTGTCACCTGCCAAAGAAGCTGAGGAGAACCCAAAGCATCACTTTTGTGATGTTGGCAGGCAGAGATAAATCTTGTATGCCTAAAGTAGGGGAAAGAGAAAACAGCCAGCAGCCCAGGCTTCCATACTTACACGAAACTTAGAATGGCATCTAATGAAGTTTTATTAGTCTCCCAGAAGTATCACAGGAAGAGATGGCAGTTACTGTACATAGTAGACACTGCTGTACAGTTAGAAACACATGTTTCTAAGTACTTTTGCCAAGGGAGGATGGCAGGCTAGAAATACTCCTTAATTCATTAACATTTCTGGGGGGAAAAAAAAAAACAAAACCAAAAAATAGACAATAAAATCATATATTGCGTTGGGTATCCCAGTTACATCATCTTTAAACAACTGTTACTTCATGCTCTTCTGAGAAAGGTCATGGAAGAGTCAATGACAAGGACATCTAACAGATGGTAGTGTTCAACCAGAACATGGAAAATTCAAGTATTTCACCAGCACAACTGGAGGACCTCTTATTGTAGAGAGAAGGTAGATATCGTTGCTGATCCTCCCATTTGCCTCTGGAGTGAAAGCAAGGAGAATTGTTTTACAGTCACAGCAGGGTCTCTGTGGTTGAAAGCTACAACTAATCACTTACATTGACTGTTTAGTAATGTTTTCAGGATTCTTCAGCTAAGCTCTTGCCTAGCAGCATCCACAAGTAATGCTTTCTGTCACCTCCATCTGGCTAGAAGACTTTACTTTATCACACTGGATCACGACCTGGCATCTGTCATTTACACCTGGGTGTGTTGCTTCTTGACTAGATTAGAGTGATACAATATACCTGGACATGAAACTTCCAACATTTGGGAAATGCTGAATAGCAGAGAACACTACAGCAAATCCCTTCTGCAACCCAGGTCACTGTGACCCCACCAACAATTTCTTCCATTTCTGCATTAACACCTACCAGACTAATCAATGAAATTCAAGGCCTTGGCACTTGGAGCAGCTGCACTGAGCCTCTGGGAGGCTGCATCACGTTCTACAATACACATCATTGTCAAAGGCTCTGCTTCTCTCTTACTGTAGAAAACTCTATTGTAAAGGAAAAGATAGATTGTAAAGCTTGTAGGACACAGGATTTTCCAGTATTAGTATGAAATTGTGAGCTTTCCAAGGAAAATAAACTATCACAAGTCTCCCTACTTTCTGCTGAAAGGACAAGACAGACTTCTTCCACTCTGCCTTTCTCATCATAGGTACAACACACATTCTAAATGTATGCATATATTTTCATATATATATAAATATATATATATGTATGTATGTCTATTTTAAACTTGCAAACAAAAATGCCTCCTTGACTGTCTATGGTTTTGTCTGTCTGAAAAAGATGGGAGAGGAATTACACACAGGGTGAATGCTACTATCATACATTGCGTATTGCTCAATACACTGCTTGAGTGTACTGACAAACTACACAGCAAAGAAGCTGAGTAGATAATTTATATAGTTAAATCATATGTAGTGTATTTTTTAATATGATTTATTCTGTTTTCCTCACATCTTTTTATATTCACTTCCTTCCTTCCTCTCCCACTCATCAAATAACTGTTTTTGACATTTAGAGTTTTGTAAATAAATTTACCCTATAAATAGCATTGTGGGAAATTTTCAGAAACACCTGCTGTGTGTAGGAAATCAAAAGTAAGTGACTTTCACTGAGATTTTGGGCTTTTACACATAGCTTTGAAAAGATGGTCTAAGTGAAATGGTAAACACATTGTGAGAACCTTAAAAAAATATCTTGGCTTTAGGGACCAGGACAATAAAGATCAAACTGCAGTGATCGGGAAGTCTGACCAGAATGGAGAAGCTATCCTAGTTATTTCTGAGCTCAGTGAGTGATTTATGGATGAAGTGGAGCATACCTTCTGGGAAAACAGTTTGTCTTGTTTTAAACCCTCCTCGTGAGGGTTTAACAGATTTCCCTTGGCAATCTGTTCGTATGGTTAATTACCCTCATTGCTAAAAATGTTCTCCTTACTACAAGTTTACGTTTTCCTGCCGAGACACATGAAACTTCAAATACATTAGATACTTTGCATCTGTAAAAAGGAGAACTCTCCCATGTGGGTAACCCAAAGATCCAGCCTCATCTCATTCCTGTAAGAAAAGAAGCATGCGTGGGTTGTTCTCCGTAGCTAGGGTTGGCAGCTGTCACAGCAGGACTGCATTGTTACTTTAAAGAGGTGATGCTTTTCCTTTGCATGCTGTAAACCACAGTAGTGCTTTGGTGGGGAACAGGAAAGCAATTTGGCTTTCTATTTGGAAATCCTATTTCCAGATTGCTCATTTGAATTGGCATCTGCTAAAAGAAATGCATAGGGTGAAAGGATGGGCATGATTATTCACACAGTGGCAATGATATTTTTTCCTGTTGTTTCCAAAGAAGAACCTTAGCGTGAGTTTTGGTGATAGTCAGGTGCAGCTCAACCTACCAGCAAAAACTGGGGCAAGATTGCCGCCTAGTGCTCAGTTGCTAGCTGTCATTTCAAGGCATGTGCCGCAGCCGGGTATTAGGTTGGAAAAACAAAGCAAGCAGGAACCACTCGAGTAGCTTAGTCCCATTCCCAGGGCTATTACACGCCATAATATTCCAGTTCATAAATTGCATTCACCTTTAGATGATGTGTTCAGCAGCACGTTTAAGGTCAGAAGACTTCAATTCCCCGGGCAGAGATCTGGCAAATTCAGCTGTTAGAAGTCTAGTACTGCAGTTTCTTGGCAGGTGAAAGTATAATTTTGCCTAGGTACCGGCCCAAAGGCAGTCAGATCTGCCTTCCCCTGGTCGGTTTCTCTGGCCTGTCCCTTTCCCTTACAGGAGGTGCTTCCTGCATCCCTTCTCTTCTTTTAGAGTTACGTATTGTGTTGGGTTTAGGGCTAACATTTTTAACACCAGCCAGTGAGGGGAAGCCAGCTGTAGGGGCATTTGATGGCCCAGTCAGGGGAAAAGGAAAAGAAATATGGACAGGGAGAACGAGTAAAAAATACACACAATACAGCAGAATAAAGGAATATATGAAAGGCAACGAACACAGTGACCTTGAGGATGGATATAATTTCTGTTTCTTGATCCCAAAACTACGTGCCAGACCATAGTGACCTCTGTACACCTGGCTCATGAAGAAAGGGACATGCATTAAAATACAGTAAAAATAATTGCCCATGGTTGCCAAATAGATCATGGAGTGCAAAGCAAGCTGTGCTGGTAGTTGCAATTGCACCTAGCCAAACCTCTTTCCTTCAGCACAGGCACAGGAAAATCCTGAGGTAGCTTCACCCCAGCCAAGCCATTGTAGTCGCGGCCAGAGACTGGCAGTGTGAGCCAGCACGGTGTCCTCAGCTGCTGCAGCAGCAATGAAGGAGAACAACTCTCGGGTCTCCACCATCCTGCAGAGTCCCGCTCTGATTTCAGTGCTGCCCATGGCAAAGCTCTCAGCAGTGCCCTTCCCCAGAAATGAGGTCATCCCAGAGGAAGCTGAGGTTTGTGACTTGCAGACAGCACAGAGATCCTAGTTGTGGTGTTATTGCAGATGTAATTAAAACAGTAAGGATCTTCTATAGAGTCTTTTGTCCAGAAGACTAACAGAACCATATTTCCATTTCTGACAATTCAAAAAGGGTCAAGAATGGAAATATTTTCAGCTTTGGTGGTTTTACTTATTTTTACAAAAAAAGAACGTATTTTTTCTTTACAAATAAAATGGCATCTTTTTATGTTAAACACTGAAAGAGACACTTCCATGGTTTGTAATCTTTCCATTCCCCATCAGAACAGGTGTTGGTACTTTCACTGGATCACATCTACACTATGTGAATCAGGTTCGTGTACCAGGTGATTGGTAATAAGAATCAAATGAATTTTTCAAATGTATCTTCCTGATTCTGTTTCGTGTGTGGGAGGCAATGTGTCATCTGGAGACATTTCTGGAGAACGTACCTGACGTATTTGCTTTGCTTATCAAGGCTTTGGAAATCATGCAGGCATCCATTGATTTCACTGAGTTGTTTTGCCGTCAGGCTTGGTTTGCTTGGTCTTTGTAATTTTGTGGCTCTGGAATTAATGACTGGCTGCTAATTGTGACCCACATGGTTTTACTCTCTCTGTCAAAAAGCATTTAAAATAAAATACAAACTGCCAAAAACATGTGGGGTTCATTAAAAAATACAGAGCACAGCAAAACTTCATGCTCTGGAATTACATTTTCAGAATCAACTTTGTTGTGAAAGAAATCTCTCTCATATTATGTGTTTCATTTCATCTTGCAGAGAAAATGTCTGGAATGGTTTCTCGTAACATTCTCTGTTTCTTGAACCTAACACCACTTAGGAAACTGGAGCAGCTAGTTCATATGGATGCTAGGCACTCCATCATGTGCACATTACAGTTTCTGCAGGAGTATAAACATAAATTCTTGACTCCCTTTGCAAACATTTAGTCAGGTGCATTCAGAGTGCATGTTTGCTAGCGTATGAGCAAGTACTTGCACAAGTTAGGAAGTCAGTAAAACTGAGCCTGTACATACCAGCTCAGAAAAAGTCCAGTATGTAAATGCAGTTGGTGGGATATTTGACATCCTGAAACAGCATTTAACAGTATCTGTTTTGTTCTCTTAACAGTGTTCTGTGAATTACCTTAAACCTCTCCCCTCATTTCCCAATGCTTTTTTTAATGAATCATGGGTTTTGTCACATCCTTGCTGATTTAGGATTTGTCTGGGTAGAAACAGATGCATTCCTGGCAGAGCCCCTTTTCATTTTTGGCTTGCCCTTTGTTTCAGATGTACATCACAAGCACAATTAAAACAAAGAGTAGCAGGCTAGCCAAACCTGTGCTGTGCCTGGGTACCCTGTGTGCTGCATTCCTCACCGGGCTAAATCGAGTTTCTGAGTATCGAAACCACTGTTCGGATGTGATCGCAGGCTTCATCTTGGGGACTGCTGTAGCTTTGTTTCTGGTAAGCCCATCAGTCCTTCCACATTCCTTTTAAAACTACCTCAGTTAAAAAAAAAAAAAAAAAAATCACTATTCTCTTGTGGCCTATTGCAGCTGATTAATCCAGTTGCTAAGAACTAATTCTAGCCCCATCTAATTAAAGGTATCATCAGAGAAAATCCTAATCTGAAATCAGGTTGATACTAATTAATAAGGCTAATATGATGACATTTGTGCATTGTATATATTTCAAGATTATTTTAATTACTATACATGTTCTTACTTGACCTATCCCGGAAAATGCTTTAAAGGCGGTGTAGATTGCTGCTTTTGTCAAAAGGGGGGCATGCTTGAGACTTCTTCTCTGACACCCCTGTGTTGCAAAACCCAACTGTCTGCCTGGTATCTGGCAAAAATGTAGGATACGGGGTGTTGTCTGGGGCTCTAAGCAGTGGTCCTGGCTCCCTGTTTTGTTTCAGACCATAAAAGAAGTGCAATAGAAAGGAAGGTCAGGACAAACTGCTTGGGAGACAAAACTACCTCCCTTTGCAGCATTTGGAGTTGAGCTGAAATTGTTCACCATCTCATAGGATTACCAAATTTATTAAAATGTATCAAAGACCTTCCCACAGAATCTAGGAACAGCATCTCCCTGGACTTCGAATGTTACTTGCTCCCCTGTTGGCTGTGTGGTTTAAGTGTTTTGTTTGGTGAGAGATCTCTTGCTGAGGATTTACCCACACAGCAGTCAAGGTGATTTTCACTATTACCAAGAAATGTGCCTGGTTCCATTTAATCAAAATAGGCTTCAAAACTATCCACTGCATACTAACAGACACTTTATTCCTGTTATCAGGAGGGATTAGGTTTCAAAGACCCCTTAAATCTAGATTGTCCTGTCGCTGATTTTTTTTCTATTCTGTACTTGAAAAAACGCCAACAAACCTTCACATATCGTTTATTCCTGTGTTCCCTTTAAATAAAAAGATGTCTGCAACCTCTGACCTGAATCTCCCTGGCTTTAATATAAGTAATTTGTCTGATTCCCACTGGCAAAGGCAGTTTAAATCCAGCCCATGCAGTTTAAGAGGCAGTCACCCCACATACGTGGTCAGGACTATCTATGTGCTCCCAGTACCTGTTTCTAGCAGCGACAGCCTGCTCCCAGCCACATTTTGGCCCTGCAGACCTTCTGCCACCCTGCAAGTGTCACAAGCCCGATTGCAAAGTGGTGGAAGGGCTCTCCCCGGAGCTTGGAGGGGAGAGGTGCTGTGAGATCTCCCGCTGCCAGCACAAGACTCACCCAGGCTGCAGCCTGCTCCTTGCTCAGGTCTAAAGAGCAGCGAAGAGGGAGAGCCAGCAAGGAGCTGGCTGCAGGAATCACTCTGACAGCAGATGTGTCAGCTCCTGTATGTCTTTTTTTCCAGTGTGTTCCCAAGCTCCAAACTGCCATGTGTGTTTGCTCTTATTAGCATCACGATGTGGGTGCAGTAAGTCTGGTCACGCACAAGGGAAGGGCTTGTGGGGTAAACACCACAGCACTTGTGCTGGAAGTATGCAGGCATGGTGCTAAATGAGCCCGATGTCATCCAGATGTGAAGTAGATTCAGCCATCCAGTGAGCAGTCTTCACTGTTTGGAAATGACAGTCAGAGTCTGAAGGGGGTATTTGGCCAATAAAATGCATCGTTGGGGTAGTCCATGGTTCTGTGATGATAAAGCAGACATGGGAGTCTCTGCTGTACAAAACATAAAAAGGCTGAGAACGGTTCATCACCTCAGATGAGAGGCCAGATGAACCCATTTACCAAGGTAGTCCACCACACCCAACTATGTCAGTAAACACACTGTAGCCCAGGGCTGAGACAGATGATGCCTTGAACCAAAACCCAGGTTAAGTTCGTTGCAAAAACTGGCAGTTGTGAGACCCCTGATGGTAATGCCTGTGAGTTTTTCCTGGGGACAGAACATGCTGACCTCACTTCTTTTTTTTCCCTGCATTACACAGGGGATATGTGTTGTCCATAACTTTAAAGGCACTCATGGATCGCCTTCTAACGAGGAAGGACTCTAATGGCTTTTCCAAGAGTGGAAAGTCCTCTGGAGACATTGAGTGCACAGGTACTGTAAATCCTCTCACCCAGACCGTCGCCAAGCACATTTTCTGTTATGGCAGAGTAAAAACTAGTTGTACACATAACTACACAGGGAGCTGTTTTTGTTCCTAACATTAAGTCCATTGAACAGAGTGAATTTGCATCAGGGGAGAGTTTGTTTTAAGGTATTTATCCCTTAAACTACCAAATACTGTAGAACTTCTGCCCCTGTGCACATCCAAAGCTAAAGCAGTAGGATTTCACATGCCTCTGCATATCGTTTGTGATAACAAACTTTTGCTTAGAAGAATAGAAAACTGAGAGGAAAGTAAAAATAATTCTGTCTAGTTACATTTCAGAATGCTTTTGAGATGCCTTAAGGATGTACTCTAACATTCGTAATCCTGAGGATAAACTATGCTGTCCAGAAAAATATTATAGAGATTAGGGTTTTATCCTTATTAACATTTAGTATCTTCTATAAGAAGAAAAGATCATATACTGTTTTCTATCTCTAAGTCATCAGAAGAGAATTTAGTAGCATTCTTTCAAGTTTGCAAAAAAATAGGCTAGCAGGAGCATCTTTATTGACGGTGTTTCTGTTAAACTTCTAACTTCAAATGGCTTGTGTTGGTGTAACTGAATCATACCCAGTCCTTTCAAAACAGACGAGCAAATGCCACCTGCCAAGAATTTCTGGGAACAAGGAGGAACTGTAGTTTATCAGTTACCTGAAATGGTCTGGTGTAATTTATTTGTTCTTTAAATTATACTTCCTTTATTAGATGCCCTACCATTCCTGTGTACATGGTTTGTGGCAAGATCAATAGTGACTTTTGTTAAACCCTTTGACAAATAGGAATTAAAAAACTGGAAAAGACACTGTTTCACCTGGAAATATTTTGCTTAGTTGAAAAGTCAGCTTTGATTAGGCAAAGATTTCGTGGAAGACTTTCAACTAAATCTGCAGAACTGTGTGTGTTAACTGTTCTCTTGGTAGACTTACAGTCCAGAAACCATGTGCTACTTATATATCCACATTGTATCGTGTATGACAAAAGGGCTGAACAGGTGAAAATATTCATAGACTGTGAGAAAAATTTTGTCAGCTGTTTATAGCTTCTGGACTGTGAAGTGCAGGTAGGGACTAGGCCTTAACTGTTGATGTCCACTATAATCAACAAGATAATTTTCTCTGACTCAGGGTATCAGTCTCTAAATGACCATACATCTACCATGCAGGAGTAGATTGGGAAAAGAGTGATCCTGCTCTGAAGCTATTACAAACAAGTCCTTGGGAGTGGCTGCTCATTACTGTTTCTTCAGATACAGGAGGTGCATCGTCCTTCTCTGTGCAGATTTCTGCATCCATTCCCACTCTTGTTTTGCCTTGCACCCACACAAACCCTGCAGATACAGCATGATCCAAGGACGACTCAGTACTGCCACTGAAGTCCTGGACATTGGCTTCCAAGAAGGTTGAATCAACACTGTTTCCACCTAAAGAGGACTTCTGCGTTGCTATATATCTGTGGCTGCCCGTGTTTTGCCATAATGATCCCACCTCTGTATGGTTTTAAGCTCTGTATGTTCCCTAGTATCAAACTGCGTAGGATCTACATGCACACATCACATGAAGCCAAACCGTGGTCCTTTAGGCTCTTCTTGAGTGAGAGCAGATCCACTGTATTAGTTATGTGACTGTATGAAGTGCTTGAGCCTGTACTGGCATGTCCTTCTGGACAGGATCCAGTCCAGTTTGAAAGTCTTGATTGAAAAAGTGGCACCTTGTTTTTCAAGCCTGTTAGTGAGTGTTCATAGCCCAGAAGCAGGGCTTGAGCTCGGAGTTTCCCACCACGAGCTCAGGATAGACGGCAGTCACATTTGCAGTGATCTCTTAATTTTAAAGCCCTACATTAGCTGGAAAACAGATTTTATTAGTGAAGGTTTTTCTCATTCATTTTACACACTAGGATATGTAAATGCCAAAATGTATACAAATGTTCATGTGTTTGCCTTTTCCTTTTTGCAGAATCACTCTGCCTCTATGACTGAAGTAACCTGAGATGCAAGATTGGCAACAGAAGCTATTTTTTATTACCCTCCAGTACAATACTCCCAAGACACACAGTTACTAAATGTCTAACTGTGATGACCAGTATTATGTTATGTCTAGTTAGAGGCTAATGTTTTGTACTTTTTTTGTATGAGGAAGTGATGTAGCTTGCCCTGATTTTTTGTCAGCTTTAATATTATTATGCCAGAATTTAAAAGCAAAATGGAAAAAGAACAAAAAAACCTTTTCTTGTTTAAAGTGTGCACTGAGGAACTACATCTATGGAATTGTTGATGTTGTTATGTGATATTTGTACACATTTTTTTTTTCATTTTTGAATTTGTATATCTTGGGGGAAAAAAAAATCACTTTTACCTTTTCTTACCATAAGAAGTGCTTCTGGCAGTGGGTCAGATTCTGATCTGAGTAAGCTCAGCATAGATCTGAAGTAATTGCATATATTTAATTCAAATTAAAATAATGGTGATCAGGAATCTAACCTGAATGATACTATCAACAAGTAATAAACATCCATCCTTGATTCAGTGAGCTACTTAAGCATTCCTTAGCATGACGGATTTCAGTTAGCCATCCAGTTTCCAGACTCCTTGGCAGACTTGAAGTATATCCTTAAGCATCTTACTGAATCAAAACCTGATTGTTCTGGTGTGGGTGATTGTGCTAGTTATTGAAGAATAACTAAAACAACGTACTCAGTCTGCAATATAGACAGGCTGGACATGAAAATTTATAGTAGTAGCTGATAGCATGTGAGCTGACTATATCATCTCCCTAGATCTCCGTTCCTCCCCGAGGCCCAGCTAAAGCTCCCAGTGAAACCTGGCTTCAGGAATTGACTATGGGGATATACAGCCACCACTGTGGAGCTGAGGCTGCGCCTTAAGTGTTTCATAACTTCATCATAGATTTGTGGGGTAACTAGTAACACTGGTGCAAAGGAAGGGTGACACCACTTCTCCAGTGGAGTGGCATTACTTGGCATTCAGATTGGCATAACCAAGAAGCCAATTTTGCCCTGACAGTGTAGTTTTCACTGAGGGGCTTTGGCAAGTAAAAAAAAAAAAAAAAATCAAAAAAAACCAACCCTGACACAGGACACGGTCTGTAGTAGCAGTCTGCATTTTTGTAAATTCTGCCATACAGAATTTATATCAAAACTGCTATTTTACAATTTAACAACTTTGTTTAAGGAAAAAAAAGACAATTAAGTGTGTGGGGGGTGAGGGGGTAAGAACAAAAAAGAGCCCATTTACAATGGCTAGAACCGGGGCAAAGGCTTCATTACATGACTTTTCACTGTTTCTAGGATTTTCCTGCATCTCATTCTTCTAGCATGGTGATAACTGCTGTGTGTCTCCTTTAAAGAATGGAGCCTCTGTCTGTACTTCTACTGGAATGTTTACCTCACATTTCCATGTTGGTTCTTCTTGGCTTTTTTTGTATATTTTTTCCAAAACAGATGCAAAAAAAAATTATCAAAAAAACAAAATGTGTAGCCTGGTCTCTGTCGTTTGCCTGTGACACAAAGAAAATTTGGGATGTCTATTTGTGTCTGGTCTTGCGGTGTTTCTTCCAGGTTGTTATTTTCTTCTGACTCTGCTTCAGTCTTAGGAATATAAGGATCAGACTTGGGCCATGCAGGCTTTCTGTGACCATGAGGAACCATCAGTAGTGTTCTGGGTCCCTCACTACAACTTCGATCCAAATTCCACAGGGAGAATTTCTGCTGAGTAAATTTGGCTGTGGAACCGGTCCTTGTTCTGCTGTGTTAGGAGAATAATGACATGTTAGGAAAGCTTATCAGCAATGAATACTCCATTCAAGATGCCGAGTCAGCAGCACCTAAGTCCACTGCAAAGGGTTAGCAGGGGGTTGAATTCTAAGATAAAAACTTAATGTTCTGCAGCCTAGTTTTGCAGCTGTGGACTCTGGGGCTGTGTTCCTCCCAAGTGTGCTGTTAACCACAGTGTGAATCTTGTGTTCTGGGCCAATAGCTTCCACAGAATTGGTCGTGATGTTGTCACCCTCTGCTTATCCTCTAGCATGATAGTGCGGGCGGTCTTCCTGAGGGTCGAAGATGTGGTTTTGAGTTTCTTCTCCATCCTTCAGGTTGAAGGAGGATTTGAATCTCGATTTTCCACTTCCTCAAGGACTGCCTTATCCTTCCAGTTATAGTGCGGCACAGTGAGAGGCACCTCTCTCCACTTTGAGATAAGCAAGTGAGTCCTGCTCTCCCCTGACATGGTACGTAGGGATGCCTACACCCAAGAGAGGTCTACAGGTAGATGCAGATCCACAGGGGGGTGTGTGCTTGTTTGCAAGTGCCTAAGTTCTGGATGACTGGTTAGATGAAGCTATACCTCCCACACACATTCACTGCATTTCCTCTTGGCTAGCTCTATGTGTTTGCTACCATTTTAGATTTATAGTACCCTCAGCCTTTTCCAGTTGACAGATAACCCTCTGCACAGGCAGTCTAAACCTAACAGCACATTGCTTTTCCCAGGTACCTTTCCCTTCAGGAGCAATGTGTGTCCACCTCTTGGAATCTGTGAGCCAGTGAAAAATCAGTCTTTAGGTAGCCTTTCAATCCCCCACCCCACCCCCTTCTTTTCTGAGGCACATCATTCTCTACGTGCTGTGTACAGTGAGCTTGGGCAGCTAACAGTGGCTTCTGTAGTCCAGTCTGATGACCAACTGTGTAAAATAAACATGTTGCAGTGGCAAGCTTTTCGTGACAGAGTTAGATCACCGCTTAAGACGGATGTATGGCCCTTGGGCTGTGTGCAGTTTCATGCACTTCAGGTATGAACCTGGTCTATGTAATACGACTGGCAGCAGTGTCTGACGCCCCTGCTTGGGGGTCACCCAGCTGGATGGCTGTGGCCTCTCCCTGTCCCCCAGCTAACTCCCATCTGACAGGGAAGTAGGTATCCCTGCAGAGCTGTTGTTCTTGCTCCTGCCGCTGTGCAGATTGTGCCTCTTGGCTGTGCGAAGGCTCTGGAACCTGATTTCGTGGTACCAGGAAAACCATCTGCCCCTGCCTTAACTGAGTACCCGTATGAAGGCAAAATTGCACATCTCATCGAAACCGGAGGTCAGCATTAGAAATAAAATGTTCAGCCTCCCCCAGACTTGAATGGGCAGACTTTGCTGATGCCCCCACAGGCTGGCAGACGTGGTGGTGTAGGACAGCCTCCCTCAGCTGGCTGTACGCATGCAGGAGCCTCTTCGTAGCGCACCACAGCTTTCTCTCATTCATGGAGGCACCGGTCCACCCAGTCTCTCTGTTAAGAAATACCCTCCTAACCTGGCTTCTTTACACTTCCTTTTGATCTTCTCTACTGGTTCTGCCTAAAACAAATGAAGATCAGCCCTCCTGCAAATGCACGGGTGGGGCTTTTATTTATTTATAATTGAATCTGACAGAAATTAGGTACTTTTGAAAGCCCAAGGATAAAAAAAAGCGTTTAAGCAGCTAGAAGTCTTAGCCCTTCCATGGCACAGGTGTTCTATGCAAGACTTTGATCTCATTTCAGAGTTCTGCTTTTTCAGCTTGTTACAAGCAGTTAAAAGTTTTGCATCTCAAACGCCCATGCCTCATCTTCTTCCCTTCTATGTTAGCCCCTGCAGCTTCTTGCACAGGTGTGCTGATGAAGTGAGGTTTGTGCCCAGAGGGACTAAAGTATCTCAGATTAGGGAAGTCTCAATTTGACACAACTCAGACACGGCAACACACGAGACAAAGCTGTTGTCGTGCTCTTTTCTTGCCTATCCTCCTGTTTTTCAGCCTTCTGTTTTCCACTCTCTCTTCTGATCACATTACATGAGCTATGAAAGTTAGATACTGGGAGAGAGACAGAAGCGGGGGATGAGCAGAAAACGCAACTACCGCTGAAAGTGTTTTTTTAGATAATGAGTAGTGAGTAAGAGGAAGCAAGGAGGGGTAAGTATCTCTCCTTTGATGGAAAGAAGACATAATTTCATGAAAAAAATACTTCCAATTCATTGCTCCCAAACAGCCTCTGAGGCAGACAAGATGACACAGATTTAGCTGTTTATCACTGTGTTTTTCCATAAGCTACAGGGATTTGTGAAGAGCCAGCCTTCCACAGTGACCAGCAAAACATCCCCAGTTCCCTCACGTTCACCCTGCAACGGAACATGTAGTAGTACACTTACGCCATTCTGTAATTCCCCAGGACTCAAAAGGAGGAAAGAACAGGTTTCTTAAATTTCTTCAGAGCTATGAGAAGAAAGCAGCGCTTGAGAAGTTTGCTGAATAAAGAGACTGAGCACTGTAACACACAAAAGCAGCAGTTCCTAAGCATGCTTCAGGTGTTTGTGCGCTAAAAGAAACCAGGGGAGCAAGGGTTCAGGAGAGCGAGAGGTATAACCAGGGTATTTCTGGATCATTCCCAGAAATACCACACGTAGAGAATCTAACCTCACTGTAAACAACCTGTTTTGTAGAAAACATCCACAAAGTACCAGGCATTTCTCAGACTGCTATGGAATTTTTATTTTCTTGTCTGCCTGACTTCACTGCTTGCCTCCTCTGATCAAAAGCAAACCTACATAATGAGTTACACAGGAAGAAAAACTAACATATAGGTATTGTATGTCTTTCTATAGCTACATAAAAACTAACACATCAGAAAAACTAACTAACAGCTATTAGAAGGATCAACAGAACTTAGAAAAATCGGGTCCTTCAACAGACATGGAAGAATTCTACAAGCTGCCCTGATGGCAGCTGTTTTTATAGGGCTGTTGGAGAGTTCACCATTAATGAGTTAAGAGATTTCAGAATTCCACTTGGCACTATCTTCACGTAGCAATTTTGAGTAGAACAAGTGATTTTATTTAAGAGGGCACCTGTGATGGCTTTTAGAAACATTATTGCTGACAGGGTCTTCTTTTCGATCTCAAGGAAAAAAAGAAAAAAAAAAAAAGAAAAAAAGATGCTGGCTTACCTCCCCCCTCCTTCCCCAAGAGTTTGCTGGCCCAGCTACTCTTGGTGGCTGAGTTGAACAGGGTGCCTTGCCACAACCAAACCGCACTCGCAAAAGCCCATAACACAGTTCAGAACTGAAGACAAGAATTTTAAGAGGCGCAGGGAAGAAACTGGGGAGTTGGTCCCCCCTGTTTATCCCCACTGGACCCTGTTAACTGTTGGGCAGCATGGTAAAGGCCAGAAAGCATACACCAGTACCATTACTGACCACGCTGCGTCACTGTTTCACAAGGAGAACTTCTGCTCTTTTTTCCGTTTTATTATATAAAACAGAAACAATGAAACCCGAGGACAACTAAATGAACTTTTATTAGTGATATTTATTCAGTTGCTACCGGAATGAAAGAGCTCTGCAGTCCTGCCTTAAGAACACAAGCAGAGCAAAGCGATGCTTCATGGTGCGACTCACTGCTCCCAGGTAATCTTCAGGTTTGGGGGTAGCTCTGCAGCGCACAGCTCATCGAACTTGGACGCATCCTTCACAGGAGTGCTATAGAAATTCAAGACATCCCCAGCACTGTGCATCAGGTGGAGCTGTGAATTGGGGACCGCATGACCAAGTTCTGCTGCCAGCTGAGCCAGGAGGCGATACTTTAACCTATTTTCTTTGAGGGGTGTCTGCTGCCAATTATCGGGAAGCGAGGGTCCAAAAATCTCCTTGACATGAGACTCAAGGCAGCTCTGTATATCCTCTGGAGGAAGATAGTTTCTGCTGCGTGGTGGGGGACAGATCAGGCTGGGTTCAGTTTTCTCTTCATGAATTATTTTGTCTGCTTCTACTTCTTTTTCCTTCTTCCTGTTGACAGGAGAAAGAAATCTTTTCAGTCTCTGGGCTACTTAAGACTGAGTCAGAGTACACTTCTATTCATAGTCTTTTAATATTGGACTCAGCCTAGCGTGTAGAGAGTTTACACATCCTGTGGACACAGCAGGTTCATTATGCATGCAAGAACAAAAGCACATAGGCTAGACCTTTGGGTTTCCCCCAAATACTGCTCGCCCCATAGCTTGTCCCTACGTAGCTATCACCTGCCTAGGTTATTTTATTGGTCTGAGCGTAAACAGAATTTTAACCAGATTAATGATTTGTTTTCCCAGTTACAGCTCCATTTTCCAACCTGCTGTGACAAAAAGGATAACGGGAAATAACCACTACTATAGAAAAAATACAATCACTAGTTTTAACTAGAAAATTGAAGCCTACCCCAAGGTACTTGACTTGCTCCCGTGCCACAATCTAGTCAACAAGACAAGCATGGTTTCACCTAAAAAGTTATACAGAAGCGGCTATTTTTCATTCCCATTGCAGTACTGCCCTGAACCATCTCTTCTTCCACACTTAGCAAGTTCTCTTACCAAAGCAGGTAAAAGCATTAAAAATCGTAACCCCGCACCGTCACACCCGCCCGCTAGCAGCGCACCCTCGGCAGGGACGCGACGAGGGCCTTCGCTGCACGCCCCGAGGCCTGCGACCCAACACGCTCCCGACTGCTGCACGAAAACCAAGCACTGAGGACGGCAGGTCTGA